CTACCATCTAGACATTAAGGTTGTTTCATCCCTGGAAGTTTTAAGCAAAATCTTGCCATCTGGTTTAAGAGGAGTTGCGTTCACAAAATTTCTACATAGTATATAGTGAAAAAGTCAACAAAGGGCCATAATTCTGTTAAATTTGGTCGCAGCAAAAATTCCTTCCTTTACTACCATCTACACATTAAGGTTATTCATCCCTGGAAGTTTAAGCAAAATGGCTTGTTCCAATTTATTAGTTATCACTCAATGAAAGAATTGGTGACTACGAAATGTTTGAATGAAATAACGAAAAATGGAAACCAGCATAATGCAAAGTTTAAATATCATAAAGCAAGATGGAATCAAACATAATGCAAGTTCTAATGTCATGTAGCAAGATAGAATTAAGCATAATGCAAGTTCCAATGTCATCAAGCAAGATGGAATCAAGCATAATGCAAGTTCCAATGTCATCAAGCAAGATGGAATTAAGCATAATGCAAGTTCCAATGTCATCAAGCAAGATAGAATAAATGCATTAATTCTGTTCCATAGTAACACAGACCAAGTAACTTCGATTTTTACGCATGAAATGGTAAAGGAAAAACAACAACAAGAAAACAACAGCTGAACAATATGATGTATTTTGAATGTTTTGATTACATTATATCCACTTCAATGTTTCATATACAAAACATGGCATGTAAACAAGATAATTAAAGTTTTTTTCTCTTGAAATGAATATAATATTATTATCTTTCAAAACTTGCAAACTAATTTAGCATTGTTTTCATTAAGCATTTCATTTAAGTTTCCTCAAATGTTGATTGTTCAGCCTCGAATTTTACTTCTATACAAGCAAATTCCTTGATTTATCCCCCTGTCGAGTACTGGTTATTACTAACACAATAACTGGAGACATAAGGCTTTATTTTTATATATTTATCATGGCGTAAACAGTAATATTCTTTGTACATGATAAATATTCAGAGCAATAACAGGGGCCATAACTCAGTGTTAGTATTATCTGGGCATGCCAATGAGATGCAAATTGCCTTTTTGTATTAATGGTTCCTATAAAGTTTAATTGAATTCCAGCCAGTAGTTGCAGAGAAACAGCGCGGAAACGATTATTGCTTTTTACACATACTGCATACTAATCAAGGGCCATCACTCTGTGTTGGAAGGTCTGACAGGAACAAGGCAAAGATATGCGCATCTCTTGGTATTGATGGTTCCCATAAAGTTTCGCTGAATTCCAGCCAGTAATTGCTAGCGCGGAAAGAGGGCGGATGGACAATGCCAAAACAATATCCTCCCGTTTCCATTGGCGGGGAATAAAAAAAGCAAATGCACACTTTAAAACATATACTGCTTCTATTGATATATGTCTGTGGATCGAAATTCCATCAAGATTTCACACAGAAATTTCAGACCAAAATAGGATGAAATCGCATTACAAATGTTTATGTTAAATCAAAGTACATGCTGCTTCAATATGGCAGGTATCAACTCATTTGATCATAATACAATAATTACTTAACACCAAAGTTTGGACTCAAACGTGATCTCATTATCAGCAACCTACAGGCCAAAATAGATCAGAATTTTTACTTAAGTACAGACGATTATTGTCCTATTTTATTCAAAACAACAATCAAGAGTATAACTGTCCAGAAGATGTAATTGTAACAATTAATGAAATCACTAATAAATGTCAAGAAATTGTGGAAAAATAAAATCATAGTTCTGCAAGTCACGGTAAATTTAAAATCAAATAAGTCATTCTGTGTGAATATGACATTGCCTCTACAAAACAAGCAATTAATTTGATAAACTTCATGGTCAAATTTGTTTTACTACAACCAAGAATAACATAGACTGAAAATCTAGGCTGCATCACTTTTTTTTGAAAATGTGTTTGAATATTGGGATTTATACTTCTGCTGTAGCATTAATTGACATTACGCCGCCTGTCAGTCAAACTGGCAGGGGTCACAGAGATAAGCCAATCAGCGATCGTTATCAGTTCAACGCTAAGATGCCTGCGAAGTCCACCATTTTCCTTAGAAAAGCTACTTGTCTAAGACAATGGTACAGAAGTAGATTAGATTGAAATTTTTTTAATTTTCTGGTACAGAAGAAGTAGTTTAGATTGAATTTTTTTTAATTTTCTGTCAATTTAAAGCTTTTTTAAATCGATTTATTAATTAAGTTACCAAATATACTGACATATTAACAGGTCGAGTAAGTTTATTATATTAAAAGTCAATAATTTACTACATATGGAAATAATAAGTACTTATAAATAATTAACATTTATCCTGGGTATTACACAATGCATTGGAAAAGGAAAATGTTTTAATAAATCCACTTTTTTTATTTCCATTCTATCTATTCATAATCACATTTCATATCATAAGGTTCCAGAATATGTGACTATTTTTCGTTTATGACGTATAGCGCCAATAAAAATGCAGCCGTAGAAATACAAATATAATGAGTAAATACAATAACAAATTTGATGATATTAGCTAACCTGAATATTTCTATTAAAGTTCAATAAATTAATATTAAATATTCAAATACCAATAACATCAAGAAAATAACGTTGTGTGTCATATCAAATGTATGTTAACAATAAATAATCACATATAAAAAGTTAACAAGGGCATGGAAATTTCTGAATCAATTTTAACAATTCACGAACAAATTAATGTATTATCTTAACTGAATTCCTCACATTAAACCCGGAAAATGATTTTAAATTTATTTGTGTCACTAATATAACTTAACTGTTGTATCGCTTTTTTGGTGATGGTCGTTAAAAGGTCAATGCCAAATTTGAATTACTCATTATATAGTGCTGCATGCAGTCCATGCCAAAGTATGAACCAAATCTGCTCATAAATAACAAAGTTTGGGTTTTGCTTAACTGTTGTATTGTCCAAGTATTAATCAAATCCATCCATTACTAACAAATTTATACAAATTCTAGAAAAATTCAAAAACATTACTTTGACAGTCAAGGTCATGTCAAGAACAAAAATTGATTATGCAACATGTCAGTTTGTCTATACTTTGATCTTGACCAAGAATCAATTCAATTAATAACAAATTAACACAAATTTCAGCTTAATTCAAAAACATGACCCTGACGGTCAAGGTCAGTTCAAGGTCAAAGTCATACAAAAATTGATAAACAACATGTTGCATTTTTCATAAATATTCTTTTGTAAAGTATCAATCAAATCCATCAATGGATAACAAAGTTGAACTATTTTTGACAAAAGTCAGTAACATGACCTGGACAGACATAGATAAAACATCATGTCGATTTTGTCATAAGTGTTATTTTGATCAATTACAGTCAAATCTACCATTTTTAACAAAATTTAATAATTTGACCTTGATGGTCAAGGTCAGTTCAAGGTCAAGGTTACATGGAGTTTGATCTTACTTAAGATAATGTCCAAAGGGATAAAATGTTCAATTAATATGACAATCCATTTATAAATAAGAAAGTTACAAGCAATTATAATAACAAGAGCTGTCGGAGGACACAACACTAGACAAGGGTGTTTCATTTAGTATAATACTGCCTACCTATATGAATAAATAAAATGAGCAGTGTCACTACAAAACCAACATAATGGGTTTGCAACCAGCATGGATCCAGACCAGTCTGCACGTGCAGACTGATCAGGATCCATGCTGTTCCCTTACAAACCCTATTTAGAGAAATTGATAGCAAACAGCATGCATCCTGATCAGACTGTGCGGATGCGCAGGCTGGTCTGGATCCATGCTGTTGGCAAACGCATTACGTTGGTTTTGTCGCGACGCGGCTCAAATTGTCCCTCAGCCAAATCAGAGTTATGGGAATTGTGCCAATAATGTGAGATAATTACAGGGAAGAAGCGTGTGGAGTTTAAATCCATTCCCTTTCTTAGTTTTGGAAATATCGGCTTACACGCTAAAACTTAACCAAATATTTCTAACTCAAAAAAGGGGCATAAATATGCAAAATAGCAAATCAGAGTTATTGGACTTGTGCAAATCATCTTAGATAATCAGAGAAAAGAAGTGTGTAGAGTTTCAATCCATTCCCTTCCAAAGTTAGGGAGATATCAGCCAAAAAGCACAAAAACTTAACCACAGGGACGCCGAAAAATGGGTGACTGCAATAGCTCGAATATTCTGCCAATAGTTGAACTAAAAATCAAGTGAAATAACATATTTGTACCCTAAATGTCATGACCATTTAAGAGTCAAGGTCACCTTTAGCTTCGTCTTCTCAAATTCTTTTGCTGAAAGGTTGATTGTGTCTAAGTATGAAGACAATCCATTCATAAGTAACAAAGTTACAACTACTTATTGCTAATTACAAGCAAAGTTCCATATTCAATTGAAAGTCAATGCCAAGTTTAGTCTAGTCTGCTTGATGGTCTTTTCCAAATGACTTTTGTGCCCAAGTATAAGGACAATACACCAAGTAATAAAACAAATGGGCCATGATGGCCCTGAAGTTGTTCACCTGTATACAGGCCCCCAGAGCGGGGCCAGTTTAAACCCCAAGGCTGATATTTGAACAAACTACACACATATACAATGTAATGAAAACAATGACCCCCGGACCTGGCCAATTTTAACCCAAGGGCTTTTATTTGAACAAACTTGGTAGACACCCAAAAGAAGATGTTTCATGCTAAATATATAAGCTCTAGCGATTTGGGTTTTTTAAAAGAAGATTTTTTAAGTTTTTACTATATACATATAGGGAAAACAATGACCCCCCCCCCCCCCCTTGCGGGGCCAATTACAACCCCAGGGCTCTTATTTGGTTTTTTTTAAAAGAAGATATTTTATGTTTTTACTATACACATATAGGGAAAACAATGACCCCCCGGGGCGGGGCCAATTTCGACCCCAGGGCTCTTATTTGAACAAACTTGGTAGACATTCATTAGAAGATGTTTCATGCTAAATATCTTAGCTGTAGCTCTTTGGAATCTAAATTAAAAAAAGATTTTTAAAGTTTTTACTATATGCATATAGTGAAAATCAATGACCCCTGGGGCGGGCCAATTTTGACCCCAGGGCTTTTATTTGAACAAACTTAGTAGACACTGACTAGAAAATGTTTCATGCCAAATATCTAAGCTCCAGCTCTTTGGGTTATTTAAAAGAAGATATTTTAAGTTTTTTCTTTGGGTTGCCATTGCAACCAGAGTTCTGCATGGAATTTAATTCTTTGAACAATATTTAAAGGTGACCACCAAAGGAACATTCCTATGAAGTTTGGATGAAATTGGCTTAGTGGTTTATGAGGAGATGTCATTTTAAGTAAAAGTTTACGGACGCCGGACGGACAGACAGATGCTGGACGAAAAGTGATCACAAAAGCTCACCCTGTCACTTTTTGACAGGTGATCTAAAAATAATGATCAATGTTAAAGTTTTTGGATGACAATAGCAACAGGATACTGGAACGCGAACCTGACTGTGGCAATTCCTCTATATTTTTTTCTTTGGAAAAAAAATCTAGCTTAAAATAACAAAACAGAAGATAAATATCTATTACATACTCCTTAAAAAACAAACACTTTTTGTAGGTCTAGAGCTGTTAGTTATAAGCGGTGTTTACGATATTTTATTTTGATGAACTGTTCTATGTAAAACACTAGACTTAGTACTGAGCATTCCTGTAAAGTTTCCATGAAATTGCACCAGTAGTTTCTGAGGAGTAGTCCAGACAAGTTTTGTGGCAGATGCCGGAGAAGGGATCCCTACATGTTGCCACTACTCCGTTGAGGCAAAACAATAAACCACAAAAATATCAGGCAAATTTTAAGTTAAGTTCCACGCGATATCGAGACAATTTTGACAAGAGAAATTTGAGTTCCTGCATACTTAAAAAAATGTAGATATCCAGACATAATAATATATTCACTGGTTTATCAATTTTATGTTCTTTTTTTCCTTTTCATTTTGACGTTTTTGTGCTGCTTAAATGATGTTCTCACAGAATCTTTTATCATTGTCCATGATCTGTATTCTAAACATGGTTCCTTACTGATTAGATCTTCACACTCTCTTTTTTGATGGTAACTTGACTAAAAAAAAGCATCTGTGTAATCCTTTCTTTACAGCCTCTTTTTCAATCTCTGTCCATGGTTTTCTCATCCCTTTCTGGGGGGGGGGGTAAGTTTTACCTATTAAGATATATGTTTGTGCATTTAAATTTTAAACAAACAAAAGCATCATTTAACAACATAATTGGGACTGTAAGCTGTTTATCTATTTAAGCTTCAAACAATAGCAGATTGAGTCATCTATAAAAAATATACATAAGACCACATTTAGAATATTGACATGAGTTTTTTGGGTTTTTTTTAAAATAAAGATTTTTTGAAATGCACAATCACGTGAAATGCACAATCACTTTCAACCAAATGAGTTTGTGAGAATGTGCAAGCAAATGTGTCAAACAGAAGTGTTTAATATATTACAAGCTTTTGTGTCAAGTAACAGACATATTATCAGTTTGCATATTACAATTGGACTGTTATACAGCCTGAAATTATGCAAGTAAGAATTTAATCTTTATGCTTTTTTTGTAATGAAATCTTAATTAAGCAAGTATAAGGCCAATTTTTCTGATTTTTTTCTTAGTATCTGAAATGCAAATTTAAGACTCGCAAATTTATAATAGTGATTGTTTCCCAGATATATGCTTTAACAATATGGCTTGTATACATACCATAACATCCCGGTATGCTGGGAATGTCCCATTTTTCGACAATTTTATGCGATGATAATGATAAATATGACTTCAATAATCAAAAATAAAAAGTGAAAGAAAGAAGCCCCCCCACCCTCCATAAAGCTTATTCTGATTATTTACATTTTCTGATCAGGTGATCAATGTTCAAGACTACAAACTTACCAATGCAACGTTTCATATGTTGCTGTTCCTTATATTTAGAATCAGAATCTTTTGAGGAGTAATCAGGTGATTCTGTTGCTACTTGGCAGAATCAGTCAGAAGCTATTTCATCAGAACTGGCATCCTACTCTTCATCATACTTCTCATCACTCGACTCTTCAGCATCTAAATAGAAATTGAATCATTTAAAATGACAGTCAGTACTTGAAAACATGCAAATGATCCCAAATATCTCTTTTACTTATTTTAATTTCATTGCTAATAAAAAATTTAGAAACTATTACAGACAGAAAAACAACTTAATACCTACAAAATCCATTGCATTTATTTCATGAAGATTTTAAAATAAACAAATTATCTATCAACATTTTATAACTGATAAAGTAATAAGACCAATCTAAAGAACCTCCCTCTTAATTATTAAAAGCCGGATTCCACTGTAATCCTCTTAAAATATACTTCATTAACTTATGGTCCATTAGCCATGGTATAATGCTAGTTCCCTTATGAATCACTTCATATCAATGTAACCCATTAATCATTATCCTGCAGCTTAAATAAGTTTGCAAACTTACATGATTAATTTCAACCCCAGAAAAAACAATCTTCTTGTTCGGTCCGGAATTTTCAATATTTGTACCCTGTATCATCTCCACTCCTGAAAATATTTTGTAGCACTCTTCAAAATTCAAAATAAAGTAGATTTCCAAATCTTCTTTTTGACATGTTCTTTGTTTACTTTAGTTCATTGTAATGTACCTACAGTTTACCGTTGCACAATTCCTGACGAAAGTCATTAAATATTTCATACTGATTCCTTTAATTTCTTAACATTTGAAGAACTCAACAAAAGCTTTAGACACAAGACTAAGGCAGTCTTTTGTCACTGAAGAATTAAGTATTCCTCAGCTTAATAACTTGACAAAAAATGACTTTAATTAAAGACAAGTATCATGACCAACTGTCCGGAAGAAAATTCTAAAATACAGACACTTCTGAGAAAGCTTTTAATTTTAGAAAAATAAAATAGTATAAACGTCACTTCATTACTTCTTCATACCAAAATGGGAACTCAAGTGAAAATTTATATCAAGTCTATAAAGAAAACAGTATTCTCTGCCTAATCGCTGTGAATTAACAGTATGCTAATACATGTATGATGCAGGTGTTTTCTTGCCATTAAAAATAAATATTCCACTTGAAAACGAATTGAGGACAGTACATACTAAATCACCTGCAACTGAGAGCAGTGTGTAATAAATCACAAGCAAGTGAGAACTCTTTAAATACATTAGAATAACTATTTTTTGTGTAAGAACAATTTTCACATATCTTGTCGATGTCAGACCACAGTATGATGTAGCCAAAGAAAATAAACATTTAGATTCTCAATAGAATTTTGGATAAGAACCAAGCGGGTCAGGGCACTTTTTATTTTTCTTTTATTATTGAAATAAGATGGACTTTATTTACATTGAAAATAAAAAAAAATGATTGGTTTTGTTTATGCATCATGTCCGCTGAAGGGAAAATGTATCTATCAGAGAGGAATCTAACTGAGTGGGGCGGACGGGGATGAGAATCAGACATATTTTTTTTCTATGGCCTAAGTACTGTGAGCACAATCATAATACATAATACAATAACTATTATTATAAATATTCAGCTGTTAAATAAACTCTTGCATTTATATTAATTGTGAAACTAAAAGTCTAGTAGTTTTCGACTAGTTTAAATATTGGGCCCTGTAAGAAAACAGAATATATGCTAATAAGACAAATACCATCATATGGGTTTTAACCTCATCAAGCTTGTTGGTAGACACTTCATTGGTATCAGCTATGTTGCTACTATTTATGGCATTATTTATGTCATCATTTATATCATCATATTCTCCAATATCTACAATACAAGTAAACAAAAACATGCTATAAGAAATATTCAGGCAACAATTACTATAATTATTAGGCTATAATGTCATATATCCTATCTCATTTCAAAATGTATCAATAGCTCTCTCAAAAAGTGACAAGTTATCAATAATAGCAAACCAGTTTTCGAAATGATGACCAAAACACAAAGTCTATAAAGAAAACAGTATTCTCTGCCTAATCGCTGTGAATTAACAGTATGCTAATATATGTATGATGCAGGTGTTAAAAATATTTTTTGCTATTAAAAAAAAAAAATGTTCCACTTGAAAACCAATTGAGGACAGTACGTACTAAATCACCTGCAACTGAGAGCAGTGTGTAATAAATCACAAGCAAGTGAGAACTCTTTAAATACACTGGAATAATTATTTTTTGTGTAAGAACAATTTTCACATATCTTGTGCAATGTCAGACCACAGTATGATGTAGCCAAAGAAGATAAACATTTAGATTCTCAATGGAATTTTAGATAAGATCCCTGTGGGTCAGGGCACTTTTATTTTTCTTTTATTATTGAAATAAGATGGACTTTATATACATTGAAAATAAAAAAAAATGATTGGTTTTGTTTATGCATCATGTTCGCTGAAGGGAAAATGTATCTATCAGAGAGGAATCTAACTGAGTGGGGCGGACGGGGATGAGAATCAGACATATTTTTTTTCTATGGCCTAAGTACTGTGAGCACAATCATAATACATAATACAATAACTATTATTATAAATATTCAGCTGTTAAATAAACTCTTGCATTTATATTAATTGTGAAACTAAAAAGTCTAGTAGTTTTCGACTAGTTTAAATATTGGGCCCTGTAAGAAAACAGAATATATGCTAATAAGACAAATACCATCATATTCATTGATAGCTTCATGGGTTTTAACCTCATCAAGTTTGTTGGTAGACACTTCATTGGTATCAGCTATGTTGCTACTATTTATGTCATTATTTATGTCATCATTTATATCATCATATTCTCCAATATCTACAATACAAGCAAACAAAAACATGCTATAAGAAATATTCAGGCAACAATTACTATAATAATTAGGCTATAATGTCATATATCCTATCTCATTTCAAAATGTATCAATAGCTCTCTCAAAAAGTGACCAGTTATCAATAATAGCAAACCAGTTTTCGAAATGATGACCAAAACACAAAGTCTATAAAGAAAACAGTATTCTCTGCCTAATCGCTGTGAATTAACAGTATGCTAATACATGTATGATGCAGGTGTTACAAATATTTTTTGCTATTAAAAACAAGAGCCCGGTTTGAGCCGGGTGATGCTCCCCGAATAGGTTTTGGACACAGGAAAGTACACCTCTTGTAGTTTCAGAGTTATGTCCGTGGAAAAAGTTCAAAGTGCAATAATTCCAAAATTAGGCAAGGCTGTTACAGTTCTTTGCACTGCACTTCTAATCAATGTGATCTATCAACCTACAAAGTTTCTTGATGATATCTCTTATGATTTCCGAGTTATATCCTGGACAATTCAAAAAGTAAAAATAAACAAAGGGCAATAACTCCAGATTTAGGCAAGGTAGAGTTATGATTCTTGTGCACTGCACATCTACCCATTGAGATTTATCTACCTACAAAGTTTCATGTTGATATCTCTTACAGTTTTACAGCTATGTCCTGGACAAGATTTTTCTAAAAGGGTAGATTATTCAAAAATAAGGCTTAACAGAGTTATGGTTCTTTTGCACTGCACATTTATCCATTGAGATCTTTTCACCTACAAAGTTTCATGTTGATATCTCTTATAGTTTTAGAGTTATGCCCCGGACAAGATTTTTCTATAAGGGGAGATAATTCAAAAACCGGGCAAAATAGAGTTATGGTTCTTTGACACTGCACTCCCCCTTGATGAACTCAACCACTGTATGAAGTTTCAACAAATTATCTCCAAGGGTTTTCAAGTTATGTTCCGGACAAAGTTCAAAGTATTAAAATTAACAAAGGGCAATAACTTCAAAATTAGGACAAAAAGAGTTATTGTTCTTACGCACTGCACATCTACCCATTGAGATCTATTCACCTACAAAGTTTCATGTTGATATCTCTTATAGTTTTAGAGTTATGCCCCGGACAAGATTTTTCTATAAGGGGAGATAATTCAAAAACCGGGCAAAATAGAGTTATGGTTCTTTGACACTGCACTCCCCCTTGATGAACTCAACCACTGTATGAAGTTTCAACAAATTATCTCCAAGGGTTTTCAAGTTATGTTCCGGACAAAGTTCAAAGTATTAAAATTAACAAAGGGCAATAACTTCAAAATTAGGACAAAAAGAGTTATTGTTCTTACGCACTGCACATCTACCCATTGAGATCTATTCACCTACAAAGTTTCATGTTGATATCTCTTATAGTTTTAGAGTTATGCCCCGGACAAGATTTTTCTATAAGGGGAGATAATTCAAAAACCGGGCAAAATAGAGTTATGGTTCTTTGACACTGCACTCCCCCTCGATGCCCTCTACCACTGTATGAAGTTTCAACAAATTATCTCCAAGGGTTTTCAAGTTATGCTCCGGACAAGACAACGGACGGACAGACGGACAGACGGACGGACGGACAGACGGACAAGGCGCAAACTATATGCTCCCCGAAAAATCAACTATATGCTCCCCCGAAATTTTTCGGGGAGCATAAAAAAATGTTCCACTTGAAAACCAATTGAGGACAGTATGTACTAAATCACCTGCAACTGAGAGCAGTGTGTAATAAATCACAAGCAAGTGAGAACTCTTTAAATACATGGAATAATTATTTTTTGTGTAAGAACAATTTTCACAATCATATCTTGTGCAATGTCAGACCACAGTATGATGTAGCCAAAGAAAATAAACGTTTAGATTCTCAATGGAATTTTGGATAAGATCCCAGCGGGTCAGGGCACTTTTATTTTTCTTTTATTATTGAAATAAGATGGACTTTATATACATTGAAAATAAAAAAAAATGATTGGTTTTGTTTATGCATCATGTTCGCTGAAGGGAAAATGTATCTATCAGAGAGGAATCTAACTGAGTGGGGCGGACGGGGATGAGAATCAGACATTTTTTTTTTCTATGGCCTAAGTACTGTGAGCACAATCATAATACATAATACAATAACTATTATTATAAATATTCAGCTGTTAAATAAACTCTTGCATTTATATTAATTGTGAAACTAAAAGTCTAGTAGTTTTCGACTAGTTTAAATATTGGGCCCTGTAAGAAAACAGAATATATGCTAATAAGACAAATACCGTCATATTCATTGATAGCTTCATGGGTTTTAACTTCATCAAGTTTGTTGGTAGACACTTCATTGGTATCAGCTATGTTGCTACTATTTATGTCATTATTTATGTCATCATTTATATCAGCATATTCTCCAATATCTACAATACAAGCAAACAAAAACATGCTATAAGAAATATTCAGGCAACAATTACTATAATCATTAGGCTATAATGTCATATATCCTATCTCATTTCAAAATGTATCAATAGCTCTCTCAAAAAGTGACCAGTTATCAATAATAGCAAACCAGTTTCCAAATGATGAACAAAACACAAAGTCTATAAAGAAAACAGTATTCTCTGCCTAATCGCTGTGAATTAACAGTATGCTAATACATGTATGATGCAGGTGTTAAAAA